TTTCTAACGCTCTTTCCCTGCAGAGACAGTGGTGGTAGATGAGATTGGCATGTTTAGTAGATGTGAGCTTGCACTCTTTTAGATGCAGTGATATCCAGGCCAACTTCTTAAAAGAGATTTCCCACCCCCCACCCATCATCTTCTGTTTATTGCAGCAAAATCTTTTCTTGGGTGAAGATCAGTTCAATGCACCCAAGGAACCTGAGGTCGTGACTTTCAACACCACGTTTGGAAAGTTTGGCATTTTCACGTGCTTTGATATTCTCTTCCATGAGCCTGCTGTGACTCTGGTGAAAGATTTCCACGTGGACACCATACTCTTCCCGACAGCTTGGATGAATGTTTTGCCACATTTGTCAGCTATTGAATTCCACTCAGCTTGGGCTATGGGCATGGGAGTCAACTTCCTTGCATCCAATCTACATTACCCCTCAAAGAAAATGACAGGTAACGTGTCATCTTTAAGATTTTGATGTAATCAGAAAAGGGAAAAAAAAAATCATGTTCTTAAGGAGTTCTAACATGTACTCCTTCATACAATGTTTTCCAACTCTTAATGGTTGCACATCTAGCTGGTGACATGCTGTAGAATCAATCTCAACCTAAATTGTTTCATAAATTGATTTAGTTTTATTCAACTTGAATGTATACTCTTTTTGTTTTTTTCAAAATTTACGACTTCTTACATGAAACTCTCTCTTCTTGGCTTCTTGGTGACATACTCTATTGGATTTCATCTCACCTATCTGTCCTTATCAACATATTTTACTGAAATTAATGAAATATATAGCTTAGAGAAAGTAAAATGTTAATATGAGTTTAGAATAACAATAACAACTATGCAACCCCTTTTTGCTTTACTGTTTTAAATGTCATTTCCAATTTCCAGGAAGTGGCATCTACGCACCTGATTCTCCAAGAGCATTTCATTATGATATGAAGACAGAGGAGGGAAAACTCCTCCTCTCACAACTAGCCTCCCACCCACACCCCACAGCACTAGTGAATTGGACTTCTTATGCGAGTGGTATAGAAGCCCCCTCAATGGGAAACCAGGAATTTAAGGGCATCATCTTTTTTGATGAGTTCACCTTCTTGGAGCTCAAAGAAGTCACAGGAAATTACACAGTTTGTCAGAAAGATCTCTGCTGTCATCTAAGTTACAAGATGTCTGAGAAGAGATCAGATGAAGTTTATGTACTAGGGGCATTTGATGGACTACATACTGTGGAAGGGAGCTATTATTTACAGGTAATGATTGTTTTGGTGGCCGGGGAATTACTGGATAAAACAGGACACCCAGTTAAATTTGAATTTCAGATAAACAATGAATTACTTTTATTATCAGTATGTCCCACTTTGGGGGACATGTGTATACTGAAAATTGGTTGTTTATTTGAAATTCCAATTTATTGGGTATCCTGAATTTTTACTTGCTAAAACTTGCAATCTTAGATGTCAGTCCAATTTTAAACTGGTTGGGAAAAGGCAGAACATTTACTTGCAGTCCCAGTGTTTAAAATGATATATTAATCAAGTTACAGATAATTTTAATGAATAATTAACGTCTAATATTTCCTGCCTGAACTTATTAAGGCATTTCCCATTTACAGTCACTAATGCCTATCTTGTTTTATAAGAAGCTTCAGACTGAGTATGTCCCGGAGACGTATAGAGCTGACCTCTGTGATGTACAGTAGAATGGCTGCAAAGATTCAGACATCTCACAGCCCTCAACATAAAGGGGGAGCTATTATAGCCAGTTGAGATGGAACCCTTAAGAACATGTTTCTCTCATTCTGCTCTTCTTTTCCTTGATCTGGCCCCCATCCTATCTCACCCAGATTATTGCAGTATCCTCCTAAGAGGGCTTCCCATTGATAGTTTCATTTCCATCCAGTTCATTCTTTACACTATAATTACAAAAATCATGGAACACCATTTCTGATTATTTTCCTCACTTGTTTAAAATTCCTCACTGTTTTCTAATTGGCAAATCAAATTCCTTAACTTTAAAGGACTCAGGAAGTCTTAACATGTGCTTTTTCCTATTCTGTCCTCATCTCTCACTTCTACCCCCATGTACCCTGGGCTTCTATCATATTGAGACATTTCCCATCTACAGTGTGTCAGCATCTGTAGAACCTCCGGATGTTTGAACAGTTTTGTTTTGTTTTGTTTTGTTTTTAATCTTTGATGGCCCACAGTTACTCATCACTCATAGTGCTTTACAGGTGTTATCTTCACCAAAGTGGCTTCTCTGACACTCCCACTCCCCAAGCTGGGTTAGGTAACTCCTTTATATACTCCCAAATTTCCTATGGTTAACTTTTTCAAAGACATATCATGTCAAATTATGTACATACTTGTTTGAGACTGAAAGCCTTTTGAGTTCTGGAACCATGCCCACTGTGTAGCATTTTGTTTGCTGTATGATAAGCACCTCTACCAAAGCTTGTTCGTTTTGGCAAACATTTATCGAGTGCCTAATACATATCAGGCATATATTTGGTGCTAATGTGATGAAGATGAATAAGTATGGACCCTCCTCTTGAGGAATTTAGTAGGGGAGAAAGACAGATGAACATAATTTCAGTACAGGTTGGCAGGTGATAGAACAAAGGCATATTTTGCTATAGAAATACTAAGGAGCTGCACTTAGCCCAATTTGGGGATCCAGGGAAGTTTCTGAAGACATGCTGCTTGAACTTATGCTATTTTATCCAGGTGAAAAAAAGTGGGAGGGAATTCTAGGTGGGGTTAAGAGCCTGAGCAGGGGGGTGTATATGTCAAAAAGCAGGGTATGCAGGGACAAGCAAGCAGCTGACTGTCACTAAAATGTAGCATAAGAAGCAAGGATTGGTGGAGATGAGTGTAGAGGCAGGATCACATCCTGCAGGATCTTACCTCTCATTCCTAAGATATGGAATTCATTCCATCAGTGATGGATTTCTGTTGGAAGGTGTTCAGCA